GGAGAAGCACTCAAGTTGACCTGGGAATCTGATGTAGGTCATTTTAACACTCGGAGCTTAGTTCTGGGGAAGCACTAGGGACAGAGCCCACCAGAAGGTAAGAGTCTCATTTGAGGTTGAAAGAAGGCCTCAGGGCTGAGCTTTAATTAAAAGTTTACCTTGGAAACAAGTCCCAACTAATGATAGTCCGGCTGGGTCTGGGAAAGGGAATGCTCCTTTGGGTTGAGTTTATCACAATCCTTTGCATCTGAGGTCTGTTTGCACCACGCCCCATGTCCAGAGATCCACTTGTGGGCATGCCAGGGAGACTCTTCTCTCTAGCTCCTCTGCCCAGGCATGTAGCAGTCGTGGTTTTCAGCCTCTGGTCAGAACTCCGAGTTCCCATGTTAATCATAACAAGTGTGTTCTGAGAGCAACTGGCCTGGTCCCTGCCAACAAGCATTTTCTCCTGTCTTGATAACATCTGCACCAAAATTTCTCTCTTTTATAATTAGGCCTGTTAGTATTTGCTTTGACTTTAGATTATGGTATGACTGGCATCTCTGAAATTTCAGTCCCAAACTATGTGCGGGGACCCAGGATGGTGGGAAAACTGAGCTTTTGCCAATGGGATTCAGGTTTAGCTGGGACAGTCAGAAACAGTACACCAGCTACTGTTTGCAAGAAAAATGCACAGTAGCCCCCAGCTGATGGAAAAGGTATCCCCTGCCTGGCCTTGCGAGCAGTACATTGTCAGGCCTGGTGGGTGGGAGGATGCAGGAGGGTTTTCTGCCTTCCTGTCCTGCCCTTCACCCCACACCCTCTCAACCCCCTCTCCTTCCCTGGCCCTGGAGTGACAGAACTCAGCAAACAGGAAAAGATGCACTAACTGCAAAGAAATTCAGTGAATTCAGACTTAACCCCAAGGCAACCTCACAAGTGTGGGTTTGGAGTCTTGCTCTGAAATGCCCGTCATGGTCTAGCTATGTCCGAGCCAGACAAGCTGTTTGGGGTGTGAGATAAGGAACAGAGCTGGACTTGAAGGAGCTGGTTCTGTCCAGTGGGGTCCAACCAGAAGGAAGCAAGGGGCCTTGCTTGCCAGCTCCCCACCGTCCCTCTGGAGTAAGTAGTATCTTAGCAATGACTTCATTTCCCCTAATTGGGTTTCCACAAAACTCCCTGGAAGGTTCCAGCCGTAAGCCACACTGATTGTGGTGTGGGAGCTTCTGATATGCTTTTTGCACTTTCCCTTTGGGACCTTAAAGGCCCCGAATGAGTGACAACTAGATGATGAAATATTTGCTAGAGGAAGAGAAAGCAGTTTTTAAAGATAAGGTTTGATCCCGAGCAGAGGAAAGTTTCCACATGCCTCTCTGCATTTGAGCAGTGACAGTGACGTATGGGAGCAAGGCTCCCTCCCTGTTGCCTTGCCGGGGTCCCCTCTCCCACCTCCGAGTGGCCGAGCGAACTTGAACTCTTGCCTTGGGAAACTGCTTCAGGGGCTACCTGGGCAATGGGCAGGATGCTGCACAGGGGCTTCCACTTCCTAGCCAGACCACCATTTCCCCTTTTCGACAGTAGACAGTATCGGTGGTCCTCTTAAGATTTCATTTGAATGCAGGGGCCTTTGCCCAGTGGCAGTAGCTGGCTAGCTCTCTCCTAATAGGCTATTTTAGCATACTTGAGGAAGGCACCTCGTCTTATTCGACATGGTGTGCTTTCTTTGAATCCTTCTATGGGCTTCCGTAGAGTTCTGTTTGGTCACCTCTCTCCACCATGGCCCCAGCACCCTCAGGACCAAGATGCTGAAGGCCTTAAAAGCACTCCTCCTGCTTTTAAGGCCTTCAGCATCTGGCTCCAAACTAGTTCTTTCTTTTCTCTCTTTCCCTGTGAATGGACAATCCCCTCTGTGTAAATATTCTTTTGTCTTGTTACTCCTACTTTTACAAACTGAAAACACGACAGCATGGTGGGCTCTGGGCGAGACTACCTGGGTTTAAATCTTGGTTCTGTTCTTTCCAGTCTGTGAAATGGGATTAATAATTCTTCTTTCCTCTTAATTTGTTGCAAGTATTAAGAGCTAAAACACACAGAGTACTTCAACTATGTGTCTGGCACTTTGTAAGTGCTCAACAAATAAAGGCTATGGTGGTGGTGGTGATGATGATTTTTAAAGATCTCCTTGTCTTTTTTCCAGTTTAGCAGGCAGGATTAGTTTTCCCTTTTCATGTTCCAAATAGAACTAACTATGTAGAATTCTAGTCATTTATTTCACAAGTCTGAATTTGCCACTAGACTGAGAAAACAGGAATCAGGTCTTAGCAATAACAATAACAACATCTAGGTCAATATATGCTCATCTCAGTACTATATGCTTTTTTCCCTCATACAACTATTTTATTAAGCTATTCTTCACTTAGCTAGCCTTCATTTTTTTTTTAAGATTTATTTTATTTAGGCATACAGAACTAGATACAGGCCAGAGATTCAGGAGTGGTGAGAACCTTCACCAGAGACAGAGCAGGGAGCAGAACAGGCCAACTGACGAAGTACACTGCTGAGGGGAGCAGTGGGTGGGTCAGGAGAGGTCTGCCGTGCCATGTGGGTCACCACTGGGGCTGGGGATCGAACATGCACTGAAGCGGCTGCAGCTAGCTTGCAGTGCTGCATCCTAACTGCTGTGCCACCAGGGAGGGCCTAACCTTCATTCTTAAAGTGATCAATTCACTGGTTTTAGTATGTTTGTGAAGTTAGTCAACTACCATTATCTAATTCTAGAATACTTTATTGCCATAGAAGGAAATTTTTTATCCAGACTCTTCACTCCCCAAACTTCCCTCTCCCATTCCCTACAATTACTAATCTGCTTTCTAGCATGGATTTGCCTATTTTGAACATTTCTTGTAAGTGAATTTTGCAATACATATCTTGATTTCTTCTGTTTAGCATAATGTCTTCAAGGTTCATACATATATCAGCTCTTTATTCCTTTTTATAGCTGAATAATATTCCTTCATATGGGTATACCACATTTTGTTTATTCATTATTAATGAACATCTGGGTGCTTTCATGGTGGGGGAGCTATTATGAAGAGTGCTACTACCATGAACATTCTTGTACACACACACTTTGGAGTAGATGTATGCTTTTGTTTCTCCTGGAGAAACAAAACCTGGGAGTAGGAATGGTGATATGATAGCTCTGTTTAACTTTTGGAGAAACTGCCAAACTGCTTCAACTATCTGCAGTATTTTGCATTCCCATCAGCCATGCATGTGTTTCCCAATTTCCCTACACCCTCACTAGCACTTGACTTTGATTAAAGATTTCTTTTTTATTTATGTATACAAGAACTCTGGGGTGTAGGTCAGAGGTGTGAGGGGATGAGAGGATTCACCAGGGACAGAGTTGGGAGCAGAACAGACAGGTCTACTGAAACACACTCCTGAGGGGAGCAACAGGTGAAACAGGAGAGGTCTACTGCGCCTTTTGGGTCACCTCCCTGGCCAGGGATCAGACTCAGGCCACAGGGGCTGGTGACAGCTTGACTTTAACCCCTGCACTTCTGGGGAGGCCCACCAACACTTGTTTTTGTCTACATTTTGTATCAGGCCACCCTAGTAGGTGTAAAGAGGAATCTCATTGTGGTTTCCACTTGCATTTCCTTTATGGCTAATTGTGTTGAGTATTTTTGCATGTGCTTAGTGATCATATGCTTATTTCCCTTGAAGAAATGTCTCTTCAGATCACCCATCCATTCTTTGTTCTTTTATTGGTAATTGTAACATTTTAAAATGTATTTTGGGCCCTCCCTGGTGGCGCAGCGGGTTAAAACACTGCACTGGGCCCTCCCTGGTGGCGCAGCGGGCTAAAGCACAGCACTAAGAAGCTTAAGCCACTTCCGCATGAGTTCAATTCCCGCCTGCCCTGGAGGAGATCCACATGGCGAGGCAGACCTCTCCTGACCTGCCCGCTGCTCCCCTCAGCAGTGTACTTCATTAATCTGCCTGTTCTGCTCCCCACTCTGTCTCTGGTAAATCCTCTCACCCTCCGCATCTCTGGCCTGTACCCCAGTTCTTTATGAATAAATAAATAAATCTTAAAAAAAAAAAAAAAAAAACACTGCACTAAGAGGCTTGGGCCACTTCCTCATGAGTTCGATTCCCGTCTCCCCCGGAGGTGACCACATGGCAAGGCAGACCTCTCCTGACTCCCCTCAGCAGTGTACTTCGTCGATCTGCCTGTTCTGCTCCCCAGTCTGTCCCTGGTGTTTTCTCTCCCCCTCCGCATCTCTGGTCTGTACCCCAGTTCTGTATGAATAAATAAATTTTTAAAAAATGTATTTTGGATACTAATCCCTTATCAGATATACGGTTTGCAGCCATTTGTGGCTGTCTGTTCACTTTCTTGATACTAGCTTTTGAAACACAAATGTTTTAGATTTTGATCAAGTGAGTCTACCTGTCATTGCTGGTGCTTACGCAAGGTCACAAAGATGTGCCATAGCCTTTTAAAAACAGTCTGGTTTTCAACAACCTGACAAGAAAAAGCAGAAGATCCAATTTACAGATAAGGAAATCAAGAAGGCAAATGCTGAGCTTGGATTTGAGCCCAGTTCGGTCTGACGCTGAAGCTCATACTTCTCTTACTATCTCCTCCACCCCACCCCACCTGAGGCCCTTTACCTCTGTGACTCTCACTGGACTAGCCACGATGCCTGGGGTAGTAGGCAGTAAACAAACAAAAGATGGCTGAATGGCAGGTCCTGATAGGTGCCAGTTGGCACATGTTGGTTGATCTGGTGCATGATGGTTTGCTGCGCTCACTGCTAGGGTTGTTGAAAGTCAGCTAGTTTATTAAAAGCTGTGACACATCTTTGTGACCTTGCATTAAGTAATGAATTCTTAGATATGACACCCAAAGCATGAGCAACAAAAGCAGTCATTGATAACCACTGTCTAGGGGGTGTTGTCTACAACACTAGAGGACATTCAGCTTCTCCCTCCTCTCTCACTTCTAGTGTCTCATCATTGGAGGAGGACCCTGTGGTTTGCGCACTGCCATTGAACTTGCATACCTGGGAGCCAAAGTGGTTGTGGTAGAGAAGAGGGACACCTTCTCCCGGAACAATGTGCTGCACCTCTGGCCATTCACCATCCATGATCTGCGAGGCCTGGGAGCCAAGAAGTTCTATGGGAAATTCTGTGCTGGCTCCATTGATCACATCAGTAAGTGGCACCCCATGGAGGGGTGGGGCTGACCCTTGGAGATATGTCCCCACACTGGAGAGTCCCTAGGATGGTCCACCTTGCAAGTCTCTGGGAGGCTGCACATACAGCTGGCAGGCATATAGAGAAGGGCCTGACTCCAAGCCATGTTCCCAAAGCTGTAGCAAGTATGAGGGGGTCAGTTGCCCCATGTTTTGTTCACTGCAGCCTCTCCAGGGCTAAACGAGTGCTTAACACATAGTAGGTGCTCAATAAATTTCCACTGAGTAAATGAATGAAAGATGGGAAACAGGCAGAGGTAAGTCATGTAGCTGGCCCTCTCAGAACTCACCGAGTTTTGTCAGGAATGAAATATGCTTTTGTAGAGACTGTCAGCCTCGCTAGAGTTCAGAGGAGGACCCGGCCAGTTCAGAGACTCCAGAGCAGAGTCTGGCACTTGTGTTACTGATTCTGAAGACCTGTGGCAGGTTGTAGAATAGAACATGACACTGCTGACAGAGCATTTCAGAAGTAGAGAAGCCTTGTGGTGCGGGGTCATGCAGACAGGGAGGGGAATTGAGAGTGGGTCCTGATGCATGCCTGGGGCTGAGTTCGGGTGAGGTGAACTCCCAAGGTCCTTCTGCTCTGACACTACTTGAGTCCATGTCTCTCCAGGCAACATGTGTCAGATGGGCTTGGGAGAGAAGCAGATTTATACTGAGGAGGTCTTCAGCTGCCTTATCTGTATAGTAATCATGAACCCAAAAGCCAGGAAGGTTAATGCTGTGAGGAGAATTCAAATGTTTGAAGAGATTTGGATCCAAAATCTTTATTGTCCACCTTCTATGTGACTTGGATCAAATTCCTTGCCATCTTTAAATCCTGTTTTCTTTCCCATAAATGTGACTAATACCTGCCTACCGGGATTGCTGAGCGGATTAAATGATGTCAAGCTTCTAGGGCTGTGCCTGATGGTAGTCGGTACTCAGGAAATGCTTTGCATACAGTGTTGTACAGTGAACAAGAGGCAGCCAGGGTCCCCAGAATTCAGAACTCATTGCTGCAGTCTCCCAACCTGTGGGGAGCTCTAAGAGCCAAGTTCTTATGGACAAGAACTGATGGGAAAAGTGTGTGGAGTTTAGGTAGGAATGACTGGAGAGAATTATCAGCTACAGGGTATAATTTAACCAGATGCAGAGGAACTTACCAGCAGTGGTCCCAGTTTATTCCTGCTTTGGGATGAGAAAATTCCAGGGGTCCATTGGGAAGGGACTCAAATTTGTGCAGAAAGCTGCAGTGTCAGCTTTGAGAATATTTCTACCACCCACAGAAGAGTATGTGCTGGTTATTGATGTAGGATGACAGCATCGAACATTCGCCCTCAAGCCTTCCCAAGGGCCAGAGCTCACCACCAGGTGGCCTGATGTGGGTCCTGGGGTGGCTGGGCTGCCTTCCCAGTCAGGAGCACTTTTCTGCACCCTTGATGGGGCTCCCTTCATTTAACCCATAGTCCTTGGAAATATCCATGTGCAGAATCTCGGGCAGGACTCTGGAGGTGAGATTCAGATATTCAGAGGGTCATTATCAAGGACAGTTCCAATACCTGTGAGAGAGAGTGGCAGGGGAGATCTGTTGAGCACCTACTATGTCTAGAAACCAGAGAGACAGAGCCTTGACATCAAGAGGTGAGACTGGGGCCTCGCTGGTAGGGCTGTGTCCATGCAGGAGGTGCATTGGTTCCTTTAAGCACCAGCTGACTGGCTTCCTTTCAGACCAGCTACCATCTCCAGCCCCAGCTGTGTTCTGATCCTCCACGTTGCTCAACAGTTCTCCACTTGTCCTGTGTCAGCATCCTCCTCCAGTTCCCACCGCGCCTGTTCCAAACCTCCACCACAGCCTCCTTGTTCTCAGCAGATGGCCTGCCTCCCTCCTCCGCTCCTCTCACCTCCACCCAAGTGCCACTCCTTCTCTCACCCTCTCGCCAGAGGCACAGTTGGCCTCTTCTCTGTCTCTAGTTCCTTCCCTCATATTCACCTGCCTTGCTACCGAGTCTTCGTCGTTCCTTCCCCGCACTACTCCTGTCATTGCCCAGCACACATTACTTCAAAGTGTTTATTCTAGAAAGATGAAATGTAGGCTTTATATTTTCCATTTACACCTTTTTCCATTGCAGGCTAATTTCTTACCTTCCATCATGCCAAAGAGATTTTCACCAAGGTCTCCAAAAGCTTCCTAACACCCAAGTGCCCTGGCCTCTTGTGGGCTTTATATTCCTTCATCTCTCCATGGGCTTTGGTTTCCTGGTCTCTTCTCCACTGGCTTCCAGGACTGCTGCCCAGGTTCTTCCTGCCACTCCCATGTCTCCAAGCGCTTCACCCTGCCCCATTGTATTTACCTCTGTCTCCTCCACTGACGCTGTGTCCGTATCTCTCAGGCCTACCATGGTACCTGAGGACATGTTAAATGAACAAAGCCCACCAAAGACAGATGGAAACACAGAAAGTTTCAGCCTTTCCCTTTGCAACTATTTGGTGGCAGACTCATTTGTATAGGAAGGCAGGAGACAAATAGAGATGTGAGGTGTCTCCCATTGGGGAAGTTTAGGAGAGTAGGAAGGAAGTGGAGAACCATGAGTCAGCTTGTGGGGAGTATTCCCCACTTTGCCCCTTCCCTCGGATGGATGACTGAGAGCTTAGGCATCGCTCCTACAAAGTCAGCCATTTGATCACTAACTCAGGACCCTTCTCTTGCCTTCCTCCTTCCATCTTTATCTTATCAAACCCACACCCCACCTCAGGAAAGAGGCAGCAGAGAGGGAGCCTCCATCATTAAAGCATTTCTAACAACTAGAGCGCCAACTCAGAATCAGACAGACTGGGGGCCACTTCTAAATTTGCTATAGTGTGACCTCGACCAAGTTCCTTAGTCTCAACATTTCTGATCTGCTAAATGAGAAGATTGTTCTAAAGGGTCACTGTAAGGGTGAAGTGAAAAAAAAAAAAAAAACAGACTATGTGGCATGTAATTAGTGTTCAGTAACAATCACTGTTGGTGTATTATTATTCCAACACTGAGCAGTGATTATATAGTATTCCTTGTTATCAGGCACTGCTATTGAGAATTGCTTTCTCTCCCTCCTTCTTCCTAACAGGCATTCGTCAGTTGCAGCTCATCCTATTCAAGGTGGCGCTGATGTTGGGAGTTGAAATCCATGTGAATGTGGAGTTTGTGAAGGTTATAGAACCTCCTGAAGATCAAGAAAATCAAAGTACAGTATAACTTTCCCTTCTGTCTAAAAATAAGATTTGTAGAATGCAAATGAAATTTGCAGCTCTCAGAGGCTATTGCTCTAAGAGGTATTCTTAGTGGGAACTGTTTGGCATAATTCTATGAAAGACCTCTGGTTGGTTGATGAGTTCATTCACATGTTCTTCAAGCTATTTGTGAGCACACATGGATATGTAGATATACTTGTAGCCAGAAGATAGATTAAATTCCAGTAAAGAAAGGGAAGCTTCTAGAACAAAGGTGAGGTATGATTTGGTATCTTTCAAAGATTTATTGAAATGCAATTTATGAACCCACAAAATTCACCCAGTGCGTTATAGTCGATAATGTTTCTTTTTTCCTTTTAGCACATTTGTGTAAATTTTGATCTTTTACACATACTATAGTCACGGAGCTTGTTCATGACTCCATTGCCTCTAACCTATTAATAAAATCTCCTGGCTTCATAGGGCTTTCAGTCTGGGGCCCATGTAGCTTCATGTGCAGGTTACAATTTTGATTTCTCAACAATAGTTGAGGATGTAGGGAGCTGGCTTTTGCAGGAGCACAGCGTCCCTGTTTGACTTTCAGAGACCTCTGTGCTTTAATTTTCCCAGACTGCTAGTGGATGTTAATCCTAATTATGAGCTGCCGGTGTGGATTCAACCCAAAATGGTCTCCTAAGAAGTCGTGTACTATGCAACAGAACATTTTGAAGTAGGAATTCAGACAGGCTTTGTGATGTCATGCACATCTTTCTGGGCCTGTTTAGCAATGGGAGGGCACTGGCGAGTGTGGGGAATATGAAGAAAACATAGTAGAATTCATTGGGGAAAATAAGTGTTGAAAATCATTGAGGAAAGACTTCCAATACTTATGGAAACCAGTAAAACCAGGCATGGAGTTGGCCTGCTGGTTGACCTTGTCCTGGGATGAATTAGTAGTAAAGCCAGACAGGTTCCAGATTAGAGTGTGAATCAGCATTGCTCCAGGCCCTCTCCTGGAGGCTCCCTCTGGGGCCCAGGGACCTCAGTATTGTCCATGTCTCATGACCAACGCAGCTGGGTTATAATCACTTTCTCCTCCCACCTTTCATTTGCCAACTCATCTCATTTTTCTAGAAATCGGCTGGCGGGCAGAATTTCTCCCTGCAGACCACTCTCTCTCAGAGTTTGAGTTTGATGTCATCATTGGTGCCGATGGCCGCAGGAACACTCTGGAAGGTGAAGACAAGCACTTTTGGGGGCTGAGAAAGGGGAACAGGAGTAGGATCTGAACAACTTGGGACCAGAACAGAGCAGGGTTTCTCAAGCATGGCATCATTGATGTTTGGGGCCAAATAGTTCTGTCATGGTGGCCACGCTATGTATTGTAGGGTGCATCCCTGGCCTCTGCCCAGTAGACAGTCGCACCCCCCAGTTATGACACTTTGCCATGTGTCCCCTGGGGGAGCAAATCACCTACATTTGAATATATAGACTAGAGAACAATTTCAGACCATGTTGACAAACATTTAGTGGAGACTTAAAGAAGAAGGGGTTATTGAGAAGAAACCCAAGGTTTTCAGCCAAAGGGATTTTTGACCAAGATGGGAACCACCATGGAGTTCTAATAGGTGCAGAGCAAATGTGAGGGGAATCCCCAGAGGTGGCTGCATGAAAAAGCCAGTTTCAGCAAATCTGCAAGTGTGGGGAGGGCCTTGGGTTGAGCAAAGTAAACAACAGTGTCTGGGGCAGAGTGAAAATTCAGAACTACGGGAAAAGTCAAATGCTAAGAAGAAAGGGTGTTATAAGAGCGGCTCCGTTGCAGTGTGACTGCCTGCCTTCAGCTTGGCATTTGTAGTAAGTGTTATGGATTTGGTCTTCGTTCCTTTTTTGACCCAAAAGTCCCAAAACCCATGGAATTTCTTGAAAACATCTTTTGTTAATTTTGTTTGTTCTTTGTGTTATATTGGTCTCTTGTCCTTGGGTTTTGAAATTGCTTCAGAGCCATAAAGGTGAAGTGTTATTGTTATCTTGTATCTCCTAACAAGGGCCCTCCACATTTACACTTAGACAGTCCAGGAATTAAGTTGATTAGTAGGACACCCAGGTGGTGTCTGAGAAATGCTTGTTGGTAATTACTTTTTTGGAAAACAAAAAAAACACACACTGTAATTGGATGGAAAATTTTTAGTGAAATTTAACATCAAATTTTATGTAGACCATTAAAAGTTGTAACTACTCCAAGAATCGCTCTACTAAATTAGTTGCAAATCAGAATTCCATCTATTCATTATACACTTATTGAATGTGTTCTAAGTCCCAGTCACTGGGGATTGGAGATAGAATATTTGTTAAAAATCCCTGATCCACAGGCATTCAATCTCAGAATCCTACTTCTCAACAGGTGAAAAACACATGAAAAATGTAACCAAGCTAACGTTTTAACCACAAAGATTTCATGAGTACCTAGGAACAATAGGATGAACCCTGTTGGAAAAGACTGAGTAGTCTTTTGTCTGTCAAAACCTAAGCTGGGTAGTTGGTCCAATAGGTTTTAGGGAAAAGGAGGATGCCCCACTGAGGTAGGAAGGTCTTTGATGACATGTTTCTTCCCAATTACAAACCTTGGCATTTCTGCCTGTCCCCGTTCTTTAGAGATCAAGAATTCTTGGTTCACTGGCCTGTGGGGTGTCTGAGAATAGCTTTCTCAGTGATCATTTTCAGTTTTCCCACCAAGTCCAGAAAAAAGACCTACTTGCCCCCTTTTCTTCATGCAGGGTTCAGAAGAAAAGAATTCCGTGGGAAGCTGGCTATTGCAATCACTGCCAACTTCATAAACAGAAACAGCACAGCTGAGGCCAAGGTGGAAGAGATTAGTGGTGTGGCTTTCATCTTCAATCAGAAGTTTTTTCAGGACCTTAAAGAAGAAACAGGTGGGACCTTCACCTTTCTCGAAACCAGGCCACTGCCCATGCTTCTGAAAGTTTTCTGAGGAGCTGCTGGCTTTCCCAGAACTGGGGCCCAGGAGATCTACTCTGATAAAGTAGAAATTCCTCCTTAGGATTACCATAGGCAGGGTTCCTTCAAGGGCAAGAGGGATGCTTAAGGAAAAGTTCTGGATATTGTACATGAAAACGTTTTGTGCATATCGTACATTAACATTTTGTGTCCATCTTAGCCTATTGATAATAATATTATTAACTAGAAATATATGCAGTCATTCACCTGGGCATAGCTAATCTCTCCAAAGACATTTCCCCTTTTGAAGCCAATATTATGACTGAACCAGGATCCAAGTTCATATTACGGTGGCAATATGCCCTTCAGCCATAAACATAGAGAAACTTAAAAATATAGGTTTATTTTTTACAAGACCCACAAATTACACAGCACACTGGGGCCACAGTGATATTGCCAGTAGAAAGGAAGAGGAGTAGGGAGGGGGAGGTTAGATGTGGACGCACTGGACTGAGGTGGGCTTTTACTGGGCTGAAGGTGGGGGCGTTATTCAGGCTGATTCATCTTGATGGATTTAAGTTTTTTGAGAGTAAAAATTTAAAGCTTGAGAAGAGAGACAAGAGGAAAAAGGAAAACAAGTCAGTCCCAACTGACCAGTTATCTAAATCACTAAGATCACCCCTCCAAAGGAGCCTCAGTGGGAGAGACACCCTGGCTCCTGTTGGGCCCAGTAGCTGACTGCGTGTAGTCTTCTGATCCAATGCTTTGGCCGCCAGCACTTCAGCCAGGCACTTGTGTTTAAAAAAAAAAATTGTCAGCTCTGAGACTTGCAGTCCACATTCACTGACTCAGGAGGCATTAGAGGCCCTTATGTAGACGCCTCGGTACCCTGGGATACAAAGTCAAGTTTGGGGTGGTCACCTTCCAAAGTGACTTCTGTCCAACAAGGAAACCCACAGACCCATCCTCCAGGATGGTTGGTCTGCACAGAGGCCAGTGAGATTCAGGGGGTCCTCTGAGGAGGGAGCCAGTAGCCTGTGGGTGGTCCCCAGAGAAGCTGGGGTGCTTCTGTGCAGTGTGCCAGCTGCCCTTCCCCGTGAGTTCTGTCCAGGAGCATGGCACTCCCCCAGGACATCCTTTGTCTCTAGCAGCTGGCCTTGACTCAGTGAATACATACTGAATACCTGCTATAGCCAGAGACCCCTAGGAAGCAAATCAACAAGTAGCAAGTCAGGTGGTCAGGAGGGTGGTGGAGAAAAATAAAGCAAGGTGAGGGGGATGAGAGATGAAATGCTTGCCCCAGTTAAGTAAATTCCAGATTTTTCCTTTCTTCTAACTTGATTTTTAAAAATACATATATGTGACCTTGAAAAGACACTGAAACAATAATATTAAACAAAAATAGCTCATTCAACTCAGCATCATCTAGCACAGGAATACTCTTTTTTGTAAATTTCTTTGGGTTATTTTCCATGGGCACCTTCACTTTGACATGATTCTAGCTCTCACCCGAGTGTTAGTACCTTTAGTTACTCTGCTTTTCTCATCAGTATCACATTTAAAATATTGACCATTTCACTCCCCCCTCCCCTCCATAATGTTTGGAGGGCTGCCACATAGCCACAGCCTAAGGGTGTCTCTTGGAACCAGTGACAATGGCGGGTCACATGTGTCTGTATTGTCTTTTACCTAAGAATAGTTTTAGTAGTTTTTAATGGCTAAAGGAAAATCAAAAGGTGACTATTTTGTGGCAAATGAAAATTGTGAAACATAATATTCATGTTTCATTGTCTCTTCTCCTCTTCCCAAAACCAACCAGATTTCTTGAACCTCAGCCATGCCCTTTGCTGGGCCACTCTGACCATGAGTAGTTGTGACATACACCCAGTGTCCCCCAGCCCCCCAAATATCTATGCTCTGGCCCTTCACAGAAAAAGTTTGCTCTGATTTAGACCTGTTGGTTACGTACTGTTACAGGTAAAACTTTCTTGGATTATTTCTTGAAGGCAGTTTTCTAAGAATGGGATCAGTTTGTGATCATAGTAATGTGTGTCCACTGAATGACCCTTTGGGTTTCACCATTGTTGTCTTTTTTTTTTTTTTTTTTTGAAATTCTTTCCTTCCAGCATAGTATATCCTTCTAAATGATTTAAAATTCTCCAACCCGCTCTTCCCCTCAAAAACCAAGAAAATACATGCTTAAGTCACCAAGTATAAATTATGACAGGATACTGAGTGTGTTTTCCCAAATGTTTCAATGAGCTTCCTTTAAACTTTGCTGTGATCGTCACCTTTGGTCATTGTTTCGCAACACTGCTCCTCACACAGTGACAGAGATGAATTTCCTCTAATTCTCTGGGGGGCCCTCCGCTTGGAAGCCTGTTTCCTATTTAATAGTAATAAAAGGGTTCCTATGGTTACCCAGCACGCCTCTATGTTGACTGCTGATAAGTTGCTATGCTTTGTTCCTTTCTCTCCCCACAAAGCTCAGCCAGCAGTTCTCAAACTAGAAGTGAATCAGAAGCACCTGGAGGGCTTAGTGAAGCCCAGATACCCCCACTTTCCCATTCAGTAGATTTGCATTTCTGATCATTTCTCACGTGATTTGCTGCTGTTGTTTGTGGAACCCAACTTTGAAAACAACTGAGCTAAGCTATCTTCCCAGACATTGTTCCAAAAGCAGAAACGTAGGCTACACAGAGTTTTGCAGATGGTGGAGAATGCAGGAAGATACCAGCCATCCTTTAACCCAAGTCGCTCCTCCTATGCAATCTGGGGTTTTAAACACAGCAAGGCAATGCTAGAAGCGCTCTTTGCTTAGTCTGGAGAATTCATGCATCGCTCTCTGCAGCTCTGGCTTGGAGAGCTTGGCATGGAGAGCTTGGCGGGTGGGACTTGAGTGAGACAGGCCTGTCACCCTGCCTTTCTGCAGTGCTCACTGAGCTCTAACCTGGAAACACTGGAACACAACCCAAGCACTTTTACAGTTTTTTTTTTTAAATTTTTATTATTTATGCATACAAGAACTGGGGTGTAAACCAGAGGCCAGAGGTAGGAGGGTGCGAGGGGGGAACGAGAAGGATTCACCAGAGACAGAGTGGGGAGCAGAACTGGCAGATTCACTGAAATACTCTGCTGAAGGGAGCAGCAGGTGAGACCCGAGAGGTCTGCTGTGTCATGTGGGTCAGCTCCTTGGCTAGGGAGCGAACTTGTGGTAGTGGCTGGCGATAGCTCGATAGTGCTGAGACTTTCATCCCTGTGCCACCAGGGAGGCCCTCAACTTTACAATTTTTAAAAGTAGTGCCTTAACCTTACTGCAGTACATAAGCCTATCCAGTCAGCATGCTGGCTGGATACATCTGAAACATACCTGGAATGTTGTATCTCAGTTTTTTTTTTTTTTTAAGTGCCTTTGTGGGACTGGGGAAGCTAGCTATGTCAGCTTGGGTCAATTCTGGCAGTTGGTTTTTTCTCTGCCAGCCTTGTTTGTCTGAGAGACTTGTCCTCCCATGAATATGCTGCAGGGGAATTGTGAGCCCTGTCATGAGGCATGGTAGAGTGCCTGGCACAGGTGGGTACTGAGGAAGTAGTGCTGACTCCCTGATGCTTCTCTTTTCAGGGATTGATCTTGAGAACATTGTTTACTACAAGGACTCCACCCACTATTTTGTCATGACCGCCAAGAAGCAGAGCCTGCTCGACAAAGGTGTCATCATTAATGTACGTGTCTCTCGGCTGTGCTTTCCTAACTGACTTTCCTTTGTGACCTGGCAGCATCTGCACATGTGGGCACAGACGTCATCCTGCCAGAAACTGAGCAAAGAGGGAGTGGCGAGAGGCCCCTGCCACCTCCTTCCCTATGGTTGGATAAAGGTCCCCACCCCAGTTACTCTGTGCTGTTTCTGCAGAACTGGGGGGTGGGGAGAGGGAGAGAGCCTCACCAGGCTGGTTGTCTTTACCCCCAAGAGATCAGCTGTTCTTTTCCTTCCCTACATCTTACTCAGCCCTATCCCCATTTCTGGGAGGTCACTGTCACCTGGAGAGCCACTTGTGAATGTCATGCGGTGGTCCCTTGCCATGCGTGTGGGGAGAAAGCTCTTTACTCTTGTAGTCAAAAAGACCCATGGTATCTTGGCTCTGCCTCGCATGAACTCAGAACTGTTATTCTGAATCCCAGTTTTCTTATCTGCAGACTAGGAAAAGTAGTTTATTTTTGAAGGGGTTTTTTAGAGGGATAACTTCAGAACACACATTCAGAGCCCTCAGTGAATTTGTGGTTGCTCTCCTAATGTTTCTGCCTGTGTGGACACCCATGGTTTGGTTCTGTGGGTCTTCTGCCTCCTGCTTCTTGCCTTTGCAGCTTTCATTCTTAAAGAGTGAAGAGGGTTGGGAGGAAGGAACCCTGGACGTTTTTCTGGCTAGGTTTTCAGCCCTTCCAAAACTCCTGTTCCTAACACTGCTGCTGCCACTGTAGCTTCAAGATACGGATCGGATCGTGCTGACTGAGGTCAGCGTGCACTCTGGGAGGTGACCATGGCCCGGGCGGCATGGTGGCCATTCATTGCTGCTTGTCAGAGAAGAATGTGCCTTCCTGTCACCAGCTTGTACTGGCAGCCAGCCGGGTGACATTAGTAACCCAGCCCTCCCCTGGGCCTCTGCCACTGGTCAGGTCTTTGCTGAGAGCCTGTATTGCTGGACAGGCTATGATTGGGGAGAAGGTGTCCAGGGGTGGGATGGAGCTGACTGAGCAGTCACTCAGTGTGTGAGCAATGGGCTTGAACACTCAGGGCCCCCTTCTTCTTTCTGCTTCACTGGCATCCTTCCCAAAGTTGCCTCCTCGCTGTAGGATACCTAAGGCAAGAGTAAAAGACTGTTGGGCATCTGGAGGTGCAGGTGCAGTGGGCATCTGTGCAGGGGAGGGTCTAGGAGGCCTTGCCAGCCCACACCTGTGATGTTCGCCAAGTCTGAGTGGTGCTTCCTATTCTACCGACTGAGTACTTCTAGGGTGCTAAGGTTCTATCGGGTCACCTCAGAGCATTGCCTAGGAAGCCAGTTGCTCATGGTAAGTTGTTTTCTTGGCAGTTGTCAAAGCCACACTGTACTCCTGTCTCTGGCTCTCTCAGGACTGTGGAGGAGCCAGGAGAGAGCCAGACCCTTGGTTGTCCTTACAAAGGGCTTCCTTCTCCTTCAGAGATTCTGGCAGCAACCTCCAAGATGGTGCTGAGGGGCCTCTGTGTACAAGTCAGGGACTCTAGTGTAGCTATGAGAGGTCATAGGGTGGACATGGGAGAACTGGCGTCCATCTGTTTCAAGAGCTGTGACCTGAACCTCCACATGTCCTACTTGCATAAGCCAGAAACTGGCTGACCCACCTGCCCTGAGCCACTTAACTTGATGTTCCTCTCTGGTCATGGAGGAATGAAAAGTCCTCTTTTCCCACCTCTCTCTCTACAGTCAGCATCTTCTATATATGCTCAGAAGATGCTGGGATGTTTGTGGAAGGACTGACCTCCGGAGAGAGGTCTCCTTTGTCTGCTTCCCTAGCCATTCCTGCTGTTCTCTGGCCTTCTTTCCATGGTTGATGCAGGGGCAGTAAAAGCCACGAAAAGCCATGAGGGCTCTTACTTGTGTCCTTCTTTCTCTCCTACCGTTGAGAGTGACCCTTGACCTCAGAACACTGCCTCTGTTGGCCCACATGCATGCAAGCTAGGATTCCTGGAGCACTGGGCCTGGTCTGACCAGGCCAGGGTATGAAGTAGATGCCAGGTGTATGAAATAGATGCAGCATGCCTTTATGAAAAGATTTATTTACTTATACAAGAGCTGGGGTGTAGGCCAGAACTGTGGGGGGTGGGGCTGGGTGTGTGTGAAAGTATTTACTAGAGCCATAGTGGGAAGCAGAACATGTGGAATGACTGAAATACCCTGCTGAGGGGAACAGTGGGCGGGTCAGGAGAGGTCTGCTGCACCATGTGGGTCACCTTTCTGGCCTGGGATTGAACTCATGCTGCAGTGGCTGCTGAGAGCTTCATAGTGCTAAGACAACCCCCTGTGTCACCAGAGAGGCCTGTGATGCAGAGCCCATTAAAGCATCTTCCATGCCTGACCTCTTCCCCTCTAGAGTCTCTTTCCACCTCAGCCTTTGGGCTGACTATTCCAATTAGATTACTTCCCTCCATTTTGTTGCCCACCTCTTCATTGTCCCAGCTCTCTGTCTAGGATCCAGCTTCTCTTCAGGATCCCAGGCCTAGGGGAAATGTGGCCACATCCATCCTGTCTTTATCTGAATTTAGAACCAGTTCCAGTGGGTTGGCCCACTTCGTTAGAGATCCATTCCCACTTTTTCTCTCCTAAATTCTGCTCCCTTTGCCTGCCCCATAAGGCTCCTTGGCTCCTTCCAGCAGCCCAGGCTAGGTGGGTTATCACCACAGCTCAGCTTGGGAGCCTGTCCCCTCTCCTAGATGTCCACACTCCAGCTTGGGGCATCCAACACCAGGCATTGCCCTCATCGCACTGACTGGTATCCACATTCACTCCCGCTGGGCCACCTCAGGGCTTGCTGTGAAGAGAGAGTGATTTTTAAGTTCTCTTTCCTACCTCCTTTCAATACCTTCAAAGGAAGGAAGTGATGTGTGATTCCAGGGGCAGGTGTGCAAGTCTTGGAATTGATGGAACAGATATTTGTAGTCATGACTTTTGGGGAAATTGACAGAGTGTGTCTCCTCATGTATAGATGCGATTGTGCTTTCTGAGACCTTTGTAAATGTGCCTCCTGGCATCATGGGAGAGTCAGGGAAGTATTTCATCATCTGCCACAATTTGTGCCATCACGAATTGGTAGAGACAGGAGTTCACAGTCACTGAGCACTTTCTGTGTGTTCCACGTAGGGCCAGGACTTTGTTCTCACATGGCTCTGTGAGGTAGATTTTATTATTCCCATTTTACAAGTGAGAAAACAGACTTGGGTTCAGTAGTTTGCTGACACTTATGTGGCCAGTAAACAGCAGAGGTGGACTTTGACTTGTTGCGCTCGGGGACCTGAAGAGCATGTTCATGTTACACACTAGTCCCTCTCTCCCTGGCCTCTGCATTCCTCTTCCCCAAACTCCCTGCAGTGTTCATGTCACTTTTTGCTAAATATGGCTTTTTCAAGTCTGCTATACCAGGTTGACTCTGAGAGACCTAAATGATCCATCACCAGTGTCCTCTATGATGGACACAGGTCCTCCAAGGTCAGGGTTCTGTATCCCTGAGCAGGGAGGTTTGATTAAAACAAGCCACCCATAGCCCCCCCTCAGTGTGTAGAGAAAAGATTATTCACTTCCAGAAAGAAAGTTCGAGATGTGTGTCAAGTGTATGTTTCTTTTCTGGTCTCATTTGATTATTGAACACAGAATTGTCTGGGCCACCTGGGCTTAGCTTCATCCCTTATGAAGCCACTCTTCCACCTGGTCTTTTATCTTTGAATTTCACTAAAGGTTATCATGAGACCCAACTATATGAACTACTCTTTCACATTTGCAGCGAGACGGTTATTGAGAGTGTTGTTCTTTACAACGCAATATTCTCTGTTGAAATTCCTATGTGAGGTGGTTCTGATAGAGTCTAGTGCCAGGAAAAAATAATGCCTCCCCTAAGGAATGTCTATGCTTCCTTCTTTCTGATAAGGAAAGTCTGTAAAATATCCCATTTCCCTTTTGCCTTTAGATGCCAGGAAGCTCAAAGCCAAAACTGATGCTTAATCACAACTGTATTGTCGCATAGATGGCAGATTTGGTTCCTCTTTATCCCATTGGCTCTCGCCTTTTTCCGTTTTAATTAGCCTCACTCTACAAACCCATTCCAAGTCCTCCTGCAAAGTGGGCATGAGTACTTTGGGGGTGGGAAGTAGGTTGCCCCACTGTGCTCTGTATTCTCCCCCAGGACTACATCGACACAGAGGCACTGCTGTGTGCAGATAACGTGAACCAGGATAACCTGCTCGCCTACGCCCGAGAAGCAGCAGACTTTGCCACCAATTACCAACTGCCATCTTTAGACTTTGCCATGAACCATTATGGGCAGCCAGATGTCGCCATGTTCGACTTCACCTCTATGTACGCCTCAGAGAATGCAGCCCTAGTGCGCGAACGTCAGTCACACCAGCTGCTCGTGGCCCTGGTGGGCGACAGCTTGCTCGAGGTACCACCTGCCTCCAGAACCTTCCGGTTCCTGCCAGGATACTGATCCCTGCATTTGTACTGGCTGGCAGCGTTTGCTGTGATGGAGCGAGAGAAGGGCGGCTCTCAGCCAGCTGGCAGGCTCCTACCGAGCCCATATTAGTCTCAGGCCTGCCCTACCTCTAAGATCAGAGAAGCCAGTCCTGATTATGAGTAGTTAGGAAAACTTTCCGTTCCCCTAAGGGTGGTTTTAGGCTGAACTCTGCCGAAATACAAAAGTAGATGGGCCATCCTTCTCAGAACAAGAAGACCCTCAGCTGGGCTATGACTTTGCCCTTATGTGAGTGACTCTGTGCATTCTCCATGTGAAGATCAAATAGGTTGTGAGAAAGTGAGCCCCAAAGTCCAATTTTTTGCTCTTGGCCTCCTGTTCAAAATTCTTCCCAGAAAATTTGCAAATGGAAGGATTCTTACATTAAAAGAACGCTTCAGAAGGGATAAATATTTTTCTTTAATGTAAACACTAACCAAAAACTGTTTATGCATTTCTCCTAAGTAAGAGTTAAATTACAAACCCTGCACTCGGTGCCTACGAAACAGTTGAGTTAGATCCTTGGTGAACGTCCTTGTTCACCTTTGTTCCTGTCACCTCAGCCCCTGGGTTGACGGTCAGCCCAGGTCTTCTGTCCTGGTCCCGCTCCCTGCCCTCTCTCTCCCCAGTTCTGCCTTCAGGCTCTCTCATTTCCCAGCCACCAAGTCTTTGCCCACACCACCTCTGAATGGAGCAAGATCAGACTCCTCTCTGCACGTGAAAGTCAGCCTAAGTGCAACCCTCGTATGAAGCGCCGCCTGGCCTCCACTTCCTTTCCCCAGGGGGAATCTGCCTCTGCCTTTTTTGGACTCAAAAACAGAGATGCTATTCCTGTCATTGCACCCGCTCCATGTGACCTTGTGCGGCAACTATTTGTGTTTGTGGCACACCCTAGTGAGCTGCCCCATTATTCCCTGGCCACCCCCCACCCCCATCTGAGTGCCTTGCAGGGTCTGGCAGTCAGTGATGCTGGGCATTGTGGCACAGTAGGCTGGGGGCCATCAGAACCAAGCATAACTTCGGGCGCTTACTTTTGCAGCCATTTTGGCCCATGGGCACAGGGTGTGCCCGAGGTTTCCTGGCAGCCTTTGACACAGCGTGGATGGTGAAGAGCTGGCACCAGGGCACTCCACCCCTGAAACTTCTGGCTGAAAGGTGAGATTGACAGCAGGCTCCTTGCTGGGGGCAGAGCTGGCTAAAAAGTTTAAGCAGGAGAGGGGTGAAACTAGCTGGCAGGTGACTTCCAAATGAGCCTGGCATCTCTGTCCCCTCTTGTCTGCTGTCCCACACATGGCCTGGTCGGATCATCGGGGTCTCTGAGGAAGTTTTCTGCATCATGGTCTTTCCCTCCTTCAGTGACTTAGGCCCTGTATGCCAAAGAGAAACTTCCATCAGGGATGCCCTAATTGGGGTTCCCCACTGCTCAGTCACCCAGGAGCCCCGAGTTTCTTTAGGAGAGGCTTCCTTTGCAGCACTGCATGCTGACACCTCAGCACTACCCCCCAGTCCTTGTCCCTGTGAGCTTTTGAGCTTCCCCCCAGACCCCTCCTGCTGGTCACGTGGCAGTGACCGCTGGTGGACTGGGGGAAGCTGGAGCCGGAGGGTGGGGTCAGGCCTTTGCTGCCTTGGGTGTGGAGGCCTGTGGTCGTGGGGTGAGGCCACAGGAGGCCATGTGGCTGAGTGGCGGTTGTAGTAGAACCACAGGTCCCCATGCTGCCAGCTCAGCATCCCATTTTCTTCCTAGACTCCCAGACTCCCACCTCCTTTTAGCCCCTCTCCAACCGTCCCCTGCTCTGCAAATCTCAAAAGCCACCAGGGTCAGGCATTGCAGGAAAGGGTAATGCAAACATAACCAGGAAGCCCTCGAGTGCTGGCAAATGAGGCCGAAGGGGAGGGTGGGGACAAAGAGCTGGGCCAGAGCAGTCCCTCACCTCTGGGCTCTGCTTCCCTCCAGAGAAAGCCTCTACCGGTTGTTACCTCAGACAACCCCAGAGAACATCAACAAGAACTTTGAGCAATACACGTTGGACCCCGGGACCCGGTACCCAAACCTCAACTCAAACTGCGTCAGGCCGCATCAGGTAAGCACTTCCCAGAGGCCCCTTGAGGCTCACTCTGCACTGAGCAGTGGGGAAGGGGCGGTCATCTAAGGCCCAGGCACATCCCCTGCCACCAATGGCTCTTACCCCAAAGGTGGGCCCAGTTCCTCTCTCTAGAACTGTGTATCTGACACTTGGCCAAACATCGAGTCCTTTCCCTTGCTCCTGCGCATACTTTTCCCCCACTAAGTCAGACTGACCCAATCCCCAACCTCTCCAGTAGTACAAACATGGTAAGAACCTTTAAAATTGGCTACATGTCCACATTGGCAGCCCGTGGTGTATGTAGTTGAGACCCAGGGCTCTGTCTCAGGTTGTCATCACGTGCGATGGTCACATTTTCCTGTGACAGGGGACAAGGGTGCCGACATTGACCAGGAGGTGGGTGGGCTTCAGAGGCGCTGGGACTAGGCTGTGGGGGAGCACCTGTGGGTAGCTGTGTGTTCTCTCCTGGCATAGGTGCAGCACTTATATGTCACCAAGGAGCTGGAACAATTCCCTCTCGAGAGAATGGGCTCATTGAGAAGATCTGCCACCCTCTCCAGGCGGGGTAAGTGCCATCTGGGGCCAGCCAGGCTGTTGGACGGGTCTGCAGAGAGAAGGCCTGCCGGTGGTGTGAGGCACAGGCCCTGCAATCAGCCTGGCTCTGCTGCCATGGCCTGCATGACTTTGTGCCTCAGTTTCCTCACCTGTAAAGCAGGGCAAGAACGGCACCTACAGGAGAGTTGTGAGGATGACAGGCGTTAATACACGTCCTGCATTCGGCACGTGAGAGCAAAACCCGGGTGGTTTCACTGGAACTTGCTTTTGCTTTTCCTGTTACTTCTCGTGTGAGCATTGTCTTCCTGGCGAGATAACAGGTTCTGTGTCCTTCCTTCTTTTCCTGATTTTCAGGACCTGATAGAGAGCACTGGGCACAAGAACAGGGCTCAGTGGTGGAGCCAAGGGACAAGTGAACAAATAACTCTCCCAGCTCCTGGCTTTGTTCGGTCACTGACCTGCTTCAGAAGCTCGCTGGCTGCCAGTGCCGCCAGGACCTTGGTTCCTCCCCTTTTCTGAGTGAACTCAGCCTGACCACCCTCTGCGCCTCCCCCCCAGACTACACGCCCTACCACCGCCCAGTGTAAACCATTTCACGCAAACATGGCAGGTCCTTCTAGAGTCTTTACCATGCATAGACTTCTCTGTTTTCCTGGGACGTCTTCTACCTATTTCCCAAGCATGCGTCATGACGTCTATCAGATGCACCTCCTTCAGGGCTCCTTCCTTGTAGAGTCCCCTGCCGTGCAGGCTGCAGACAAACTCGCTCCCCTGCGCCCACCGCACCTGCTGCTCCTGCACAGCAGCACTGTGCTTCACCCGCTTGCACAATGTCCTCCAAAAACACAAGCACAGTTGGATTAGTCTGCGTCCTCCTCGCCCCCAAGGCCCCGCCCTTTATCCAGGGCCTGGGCGGACTGGGCCTTGGCAATTGCCACAGGCAAGCATGTTTTCTAGCACCTGGTCTTGACAGGACCACTCAAGGGGCTGCACCCTGTCTTCACAGGACCACCTCAAGGGGCTGCACCCAGTCTTGACAGGACCACCTCAAGGGGCTGCATCCATGAGGTGGTCCATTCTTTACATTGCTCCTCCTGGTCAGTCCCCTGCCATGGTGGCAGGTAGAGGGCATCCCCCAGAGTTGCCTGAACCAGAGTACCTGACCTCTGTCTGTCTCCCTTTCCACAGAGTCGGACATCCGGCCCAACAAGCTCCTAACCTGGTGCCAGCAGCAGACAGAGGGCTACCAGCATGTCAGTGTCACTGACCTGACCACATCCTGGCGGAGTGGCCTGGCGCTCTGTGCTATCATCCACCGCTTCCGGCCTGAACTAATGTGAGTCTGGGCCCTGCCAAGGCCCTCACTGTCCGAGGGAGCCCCCAGAGATAAAGGCAGGCCATTGTGTAGATGCAGATTCTTCAGAACCTCATTCAATATTTCCCTTCGTATATTTCCAGTCTGAGTTTTCCCTTAAGTTTCCCTTCTCCCACTGTACTGATTGCCCTTTGTACACTTTGCCTCTGTGCCCCTAATATTTGAGGGGTGGAAGAGCCTCAGACTAGTGATTGCACTTGTTAACCCCACTCCCCATCACCACCCTTGTGGGGTTGAACACTCACACCTGGAGCTTTACCTTCAAAGAGGAAGGATGAGACTCTGTAGCCCAAATAATGAGATTGGAGACTCCACTCCGCCGGCCATCTTACCTTTGCTGGGTTCGTCTTTACATTGTCCATTGGGTGTGCTGGCAGGGTCAATTGTGCCATGAGGTTGTGTTTGTGTGGACACTTTGTGATGTTGAAAGAAAGCCCATCTATACGTGTTACACTTGAATCAACTGCATCCACACAACAGAATGAAAACCCACCCAAGGGCTGTCATTGGTACATTTGGGAAGCAAGGTTGCCTTGAGAAGGAAGGGACTCTCAGTTTTTGCTTTTTTTTTTTTTAAGATTTATTTATTTATTCATACAGAACTGGGGTACAGGCCAGAGAGGTGGAGGGTGAGAGGATTCACCAGAGACAGAGTGGGGAGCAGAACAGGCAGATAGACGAAGTACACTGCTGAGGGGAGCAGCGGGCGGGTCAGGAGAGGTCTGCCTCGCCATATGGACTCCTCCGGGGCAGGCGGGAATCGAACTCATGCAGAAGTGGCTTAAGCTTCTTAGTGCAGTGCTTTAACCCGCTGCGCCACCAGGGAGGGCCCGGGACTCTCAGTTTTTATGTTGTATGTTTTATATATAACTGGATTTTGATATTATTTTGTAATTTAAATGGGGGGTTGAGTAAGGTAAATATTTAAGAGTAAATAAGCTAGCCCAGTTTTTTTCCAGAGCTTTAAAACATTTCTGATTGTTTCAGCTCAGGTCTAAAGTGATTCATTAACTCTGATTTTTGGTCCCTCCCGGAGTGAAAATGACAGGGTTAGCATCGTCCCAGAGGGCGGAGGGGCCGCGTGGGGGTGGAGGAGCAGAGCTGGGAGCTCTTCCTTTGCCTCCGTTTAGCACTGGAGAGTAGAGCCCAGAATGGTTCTTAGGGGGTGAATTTTGCTCAGCTTTGTACCTCTGTCTCCTATTCCTGATCTTGACCTTGTTTTGATCCTCTAGCAACTTTGACTCTTTGAATGAAGATGACGCTGTGGAGAACAACCAGCTGGCATTTGATGTCGCTGAGCGTGAATTTGGCATCCCCCCAGTGACCACAGGCAAAGAGATGGCATCTGCCCAGGAGCCTGACAAGCTCAGCATGGTCATGTACCTCTCCAAGTTCTATGAACTTTTCCGGGGCACCCCGCTAAGGCCTGTGGGTAAGTACTTGCTTTTGGATGAGGTTTGCCCCCTGAGAGCCCTGTGCCCACTCTTCCCTGCATGGCTAAACCTCACACTGGTGTCCTCTGTTCTGGGGCTGACCGTGCCTTCTCTTTGAGGCAAAAGGGTCGACTTCGCCCACCAGGCCTGTGTGTGCAAGTTGGCTTGCTCTTGTGGTCACCGGGAGGTCACTGGTAGCTCATCAGCCCCTACTCAGGCCATTTTGCAAATACCTCCTAAGCCCTTGGGAAGAAGTGACCAATCCAAATCTTGTCCTTTTGTTTTCTAACAGATTCTTGGGGCAAAATCTATAGAGAAAATGCTGACCTTGGCTTGACCAAATCATCCTTCTCTCATAATTATCTCAATCTCACGTTTCCAAGGAAAAGGACCCCACGGGTAAGTCTCTAACGGGTTTTGTTTTATGTCTCTGCATGTGAATGGGGCAAAAGGAAGAGAGAATTTCATGGTTTGGGTGTTATTATTCTGATAAATTATACAGATCAAGGACTTACAGAGGACTGACTGCTTTTGGAAGTGCCCCCTGGCACTGTGGAGCTGGCTTCCTCAGAGGGAGGAGGAGATGATTTCTCACTTTGTTAACTGTTTAGATTAGGGACATGATGGCCGTTTAGTGGCAGCGGCGTGGGGCGAAGCTACTACTGGCACTGCTGGGACATGGGGAAACCCCCACCCCCACCCCTCAGGTTCCGCGGAGGTGGATGGATGATCAGATAACACCAAGAGATTAGTGGAAGAAAAAGTCAAAATTTAAAAACACATATGTGGAGAATCGATATGACTATAAAATCTGAAGTAAAATTGGACAAACCCAGGGGTGAGGGACCGGAAGCTTCGAGGAGACAAGGCTGACCTCACCTGACGGGGAGGTAATGGCTTCTCTGAGAGTCAAGAGAGGAGTTTCTTGGGTGGGGAGACCTTTGCTGCAGCCTGCAGCTGTGTGATACCCTCCGAGCCACATTCTCCTAGGCCATGGAAAGGGGACCTGTGATGGCTTCTTCAGCTAGGCAAAGGCAGACACTTAGAGAGCAGTGGTCTCTTCTGTGGTTAAAGGATGGACAGTTGGACTCTGCCAAGGACAAGCACTTCTAACTACCACACCTTCATTAACTTTAACTCAAAATAACTTGCGTTGAGTCACGGTCACGGTTTCTCCCAAGGCCCACAGAGCCTCTTGACGTTAGTTCCACATACCAAGATGACACGTATTAGGAAAAGGCCTTTTCTGGACTTGTTGGGAAAGCCTGCCTGTGTGGCCTTGTAGGGGGAGGCTGGTTCCACATTACATTGACACACTCTGCTCCACTCTTTTTTTTTTTTTTTTTAAATCCAACAAGTGCATCCTACTATATGCCAACTCCGGGACTAAATTTTGTGTTTGTTTTTGATGAGAGGAGCAAATATTCAGAGATGAATTATATATGGTTCCCAAACCTTCCAGATTTATGGCACCCTAGTGCTGTAGTAATTTCTTTCACAGTGCCCTAGAGCAAAAGAAATATCAAACTGTTCCTGTATTAATCACAGAAGTCCAAATAGCTTGACAGGGTTACTTTGCAAAGTGGGTAACAGATGTCACCAAGTTTCTCTAGAAAATTTAAAGTATCCAGTGGCTCTTCTGTGAGTAATTATAGTGCCACAGGGTGCCTTGGCACACAATTTAAGAGCCATAAGCCTAATGAAAAATTGCATTTTTAATTGAACGCTGGCATCTCCATGGAAGACGTAATACAAAGGCACTTAGCAAAATGTGCTCATTTTGCAGAGAAAAATGTAGAGGCTCCGAGATGTTAGCTTGCAAATAAGAGACATCAGCTGGCACCCAGCTGGCCCCCCTCCCACAAAGCCCCTCCCCTCACTCCGCACAAGGCTGCGGGCCTCTGCTGTGTCTCGCTTCGTCTCTCTAGGCTGCAGACCATCTCTTAACCACCCTGCCTTGTCCTGCACCCCTCTGCCCAGGGCAGGGCTGGGCCTCGTGGCCTCCTTTCTTCTCATTCTGTGAGCAGTGGTCACTTTTTCCACTGAGGGCTGCATTCCCTGGAATGTTGCAGCAGTTGTGCTTACTCCAGGAGCGGATCCTTAATGCTCTGCCGCACCCTGTCCAAAGAAGGAACAGACTGAAGAGGCTGGGGTGGGGGAAAGAAGGTGTGCAGGTTAGGTTTTCAGCAGAGCGGCCAAAAGCCTGGGCAGAACCCAGCTGCTCCGGCCTCTTCATTTCCAAGTTGCTCATGCCAAGGCTCTATGTAAGGCCTCTATCACCCACCCAGTGCCCACTGTGCAAAAGGCATGCTCAGGAGGCCAGTGGCCAGTTCAGTCCACCCCAGCCCAACCATTTTCCCTTGAAACTCAATGTCTACTGCTTCAACTGCCCATTCCCAAACATGCCAGTGCAGACTTTCTGGAAGCTCTCTGGGCCACACATTTACCACCCGTCTCTGTTCACATAGTTTCTCCCACCACTTAGGCCATGACTGGGAACTGCAGAGGGAACTGGGAAGGAGTGTTTAAAGCTCACCACACCTCTGTTTACAGAGTGACCAAATCGGAACAGCCTGGCTAGCTTGGCTCAGGAGGTAGGATGGGCAGAAATGAGCACTCAGCAAGGCAGTTAGACCCCCCAAGGGCTGCGGGAGTGAGTCCGTGCTCCAGTCCTGCTGGCTCTGCTAGGAGCTCAGTGGTGGTGGGGGCTCTGCCGCGCCCGGCCTGGCCGGAAAGGACCCTGGTCAGTCTCCACCAGGGCGTGTCCTTTGGCTGCCCACCTTGAGAGGGGTCAAAACCCACAGATCTGAGCCCTCCCCCAGCATCATTTAGCATCTACTGTTTGTCCTGTGTTTCAGATAGTAGAGAGAGAAACGGCCTGGATAGGGCATTGTTTGTCCTCTCTTTTTCTCAAACCCATCCCATGCTTTCTGTGGGTGGGGCAGTGGGTGAGAAAAGTCACACAGCTGGGAAGTAATTCGTGCCTTGCCTAGAACCTAGGGCTCCTGGCTGTCCTGCCCTTGAAGAGGAACAGGACTCTCCTGTCAGTCCAAGGGCCGTCTTTCTCACTAGCATGGCCACCACTCAGCTGGACAGGCCGTTGCCTGCAGCTATCAGTCTCTTGCTCTGACCTGCATCTATATTTCTCTAGGGTTGTACCCTCTAACTGAAGACAGAGTTTGCTTCAAGCTAAACTCACCTGCACCCAGGCAGTAAGGCAGCATGGTTATCTTGTGCTGATGGAATACTTGATTGAACTGGCAATGGTCTTTGGTCCTCGCTAATGGGCAGATCACTTTGTTTAGCAAATGACTTTTGGCATATAGAACCTTTCAAGTTGTTGGGGAATCATGACAAGGAAGTGTCCCTTCTGAGCATGGATGAGCGATTAAGAAGAGAGAGTGGGTTGTGTTTTCTCATGTTATGGACTGGCACAATAAGTATTTTCTCACCTTGTTCCCCAACTTTTTTAGAGCCCAATAGAGTACAAGAAGATGGGGCAAGTTTGGCTTCCAGATAAGAGATATACAGATAAGCAATTAGAGGAATCTTGAAATTTCTCTCCACCTTTTGCTTTAACATAATGCTTACTGGCAATCAGTGCATCCATAAGAGATCCAAAAGAAGGCTAAGGGCTTTCTGGGTCTCTGCTGCTAACCTTTCCACCTAGAAGATGGCATTTTATTGGCCGGTGGCCCATGGGTCAGGCTGCGTCAGAATAGCTGCTGTTGCTCCCACCGAACTGCAGTGCTCCAGGCGGCTGGGGTCTTCCTCGCCGCTGCTCCCGGGCACTCTCCCCCGGGGCTGCCTGCTATGAGCCTGTGGCCAGCATCCTGGCCTGGGTGGGTACAGGCGCTGACTGTTGAAAAAGTCCAGCCATGGCAATGGAGTGCAGTGCAACAGACAGAGTAAGAGGTCTGCTCTTCGAGGGAAGCCAAGTCCTCATTGAAGGTGGAAACAAACCCAGCAGGAAGTCCCGAGATGGTGCAAGCTCTGTTGGGTAGGACGTCCTGTTCTTGAATTCCGAGGCTCCAGTCCCGGGGCCAGAGCAGCTTTCACAGCCTGGGGACCCAGACAGTCCAGCCTCTGAGACCCAACATTGTTGCAAATAAGGTCATCTGTTTCTCTTGGTGTGTGCCCAGGCTTTGGGATTGAAACCATTTCCATTCACAGAATAATGATTTGTTGGAAGCAGAGGAAAATGCTGAAAGGAAGGCAGGGCCCTTTGATCTGCTGTGTTGTGCTGGCCAGCAGGGAAGGGTCACATTTTTGAACAAGTATCAATGACTAAACTGCGATTGATCTTGTCCTAGAAAATAAAATAGGTGCTGGTAAATATGGTGGGGGTGGGGTGACAGAGAGTGTAAGGGCAGGGAAAGATACTTTAGCTGTGTGCCGGGGCTGAAAGTCACTGTTGAGAGGTAAAACCAAGTGGGGGGTAAAAATGCCCCCTGTGACTGGGCAGGATGAGCATAGAGGGGCCGATCACCTGGACCACCCTGGGGGTGAGGGGAGAGCGTGGCCGGCAGCCGTTCCTGCTGCTTCTGAAGTCTGGGTCTTACTGGGCTTGTACCCAGCGCCCTTCTGAGGGAGCCATGGTGATGGCTCCATGGTCCCCAGGGCCTGGAAAGGCCCCAGCTAAGAACTGGAGGAAAGAGGAAACTAACCCATGGTCAGGACAGGCTCGCCCTGCAGGGAGCAGAAGGGGCGCGGAATCCAGCCCCCGCCATATCCCAGCCAGCTGCTGAGCCCACCCCTGCATCCCCACACGTTGCCTGACATGTTGCCTCAAGGAGACAGCCTGGCACTGGCGCTGTTGGGTGGCTCATGCAGGGTAAAGCAACGGGTTTGGGTAGAGGAGGGCTCTGCCGATTTCAAAGTCCAGATTCACGCACTGGAAAGTAAACTGTATGTGATTACCTGTAGGCAACCAGGATACTTTTGAGTGAAAAGGAGGGAGGGAGCGGTAAGTAAGTTATGCTGGAGGGAAAAACAAAACAAAACAATAAATCAAGCATCCTGCACACACTGGCTCTACGGTCACCAGGTTCTCAAACCATATCCAGTTTCTTTGAAGTTAGTAAATATCCTTCACTGGTAGCTGCACTGATGACTAAAATGGCAGAAGGAATTTGCCATCCAATGCCTGGATGGTTGATATGAATCCAGAGAATCCAGGACTGGCTTGGCAGTGAGCCAGCAGAGGGGCCTGTGGGAAGTGGTCCCCTAAGGGGCGTCAGCAGCCTGGCAGTGACTACGCTGAGCCCAAAGTCAAGTTGACAGTGAGACAGCACCTGCTCTATCTGGGTCCCAGGGATTCTTTGGGGTTTGAGATGTGATCCCCACCCCTCGCAGTCAGGCCCCCTCCACCGTGCCTGAACATAGCCCCGGACGGCCTCTGTCACAGGGCAGGGCAGCTTGTGCCTATCTCTCAGGCTGGCAGCTGTTTGCAGGCAGCCTGCGTCCCCTTGTGCTGGGCAGGGCCAGTCCTCTGGGCTGAGGGCTGTTATGGAGCTGCCTCCCTTCACAGTTCTGACCTCACCTTGCTGTCCATCACTGCAGGTGGACAGCCAGACTCAAGAGAATGACATGAACAAACGAAGGCGGAAAGGCTTCAACAACCTGGATGAGGTGGGTGACACACTGTCGCGTAAAGCAGGCCCACCCCTGTCGTCTGACCACCAGGGGCCACAGTCCCACCATAGCAACCTCCCTGGCCCTTCTCCCTCGCCTCTCTCATGACCTGCTGGCTTCTAAGCCTGGCTGGAAGGAAAAACCAGCCAGCTGCTGGTCCTTGCCCCACTGCCTACTAGCTATGTAACCTTGAGAAACATGAGCTCCTAACTGTTAAATACGGCAGTACATTTGAATTTTAAAAATGCAGGCTTTTTAAAGATAAAATAAGATGATGTCAGCCACTCTGGCCTGGTACCTGCACTCGTGTTAGTCAGTGTGTACTAACAGTAGTGCCCGGAGAGAGCACCCACCGGCAGTCCCACTTTGCCCCAGGGCAGTTTATACCTCTGTGTTTCCGAAGCTTAGTGTTTAAGGGAAGATCCCAGTGCCCACGAGTGCCACCTTCTGGTGAAAGAAGAAAAGGGCAGGCTGCTTTGGTAAAGCCAAGCAGGACTCCCTTTCTCCAGCTACTGAAAAATTGATCAGCTGAGAAAGAGAGTATCAGTTCCAGCTCCCCAGGCAAGTCGGTAAAGAGACCTGAGACATACATTTCATTCTGAAAACTTTTAACCCACAAAAGCCAGCGTAGCTACTGTCCGTGAACCGTAGACAGCAGCTCAGCCTCCTGGGGGATAGCTAATGATAAAATAAGGGGCCAGGATAGTTTGTACACTGAGTTATAGGACTTAGAAAAGACTGCTGCCCACATGCTTGAAGCATTTCACCATTGTGAAAACACCATTGTGTTTTCACGTCACTGTTCATGTCTATGACTTGCTTCACGTGGAAGCCTGAACTGGTTCTTACAACACTGAGCCATTGGATGAAGGGCGACGCAAAGCCCTGAGGTCCACGGTGCTGGAATGGGCAGGAGCCGATGAAAGACACCTGGAATTCCGTTCGTGTTGCATGTACACAGAATCATTTTATTCAGATGAGTTCCGATCATCACCGTTGTCCAAATCTTTTCTAGAAACTCATTAGGTGATCTCTTCCAACTCTGGTGTTCCTTGCCTCTGATATAAGCAAGAAGCCAACAGATAGGGAGATAATTTGGAGGAGGCAGTGAAGACTGATTAACAGGACTAGAGAGATGGCCCAGGCCCCTGGGTATTGTTTCTTGCTTTTAGTACTGGTGATTTTTCTCCTGCTACTGCCCAAGAAGCTTCCCTGTGATACATTCTGTCTCTGGTAGAAGTCTTCTGTTTATTTGAGGTAGACTTTGTACTGTTTCTTTTGATAATAGCGCTGGAATTAGAATGTGAAAAGAAACCTAGTTTGCACCTGCCCCTTCTAAGAGGGCTCTGGACCATTTTCTCTGCCAGCTGTTTTTACTTCAAGTCAATCCTGTTACTCAACGTGTGGGCTGGGAACCAGCACAGCAATATCTCCTGGCAGGTGGCTAGCCCCACGGAGTCTCGGGGCCACCCCATACTGGCTGAATGCAAATCTGCTCTTGAAGGCGACCCCCAGGGATTCATGCCACATTATGTCTGAGAAGTGCTGATCCAAGGGACCCACTGTCCTGTCTGACTTTAATCTTGTACAACGGCGACCACCCCAGTCACCTACCTCTCACCTGCCAAGCCTAGGTTGCTCTGCAGAGTTACATTTCACACTTTGAAGTGGGGAGTGACTCTGTGTTTGTCCAACACTTCAGAGTGGCTATGCATGAGAGGTGCCCCTTGGGCTGCTGGGAGCTTTAAAAAAAGACAGTAGGCAATAGTTCCCTCTCCCATGAATTTCTTCCAAGTGAACACATCTTGAGTGTTCTTCCCATGAGAGAGGGTCAGCTTGCCCATGTGACATGGCCCTTCTCGTTCTACTCTAAACCTGTGGGAGCAGGTCCTAGGGCAAAGGAGCACAGACAATCAGTGAACACCAGTAATATCCAAAGTTTTATTTTTAGCAGATGAACTAAAGAAACCTTTACTTAATGAAATAGCATGACCAAGTGACCCCCACAGCATCTCACCGGTCATAAGGCTGGATACCAGATATGCTGAAATACAACAGCGATAAGCTTGTCATTCCTCTGGTATCTTCTTGAAAATCCATAACCCTAGTCTAATCATGAGAAAACAGCCTAACTTGGATGAAGGAATTTTGTACAAAATAACTCACCCACCCCCTTCAAAAGTGTGTAGGCCATGAAAGACAAAGGATGATGTAAACCCTATAGTTGGAGGGATTAGGCAGAGGAAGCCTGATACCTCAAAGCAGTGGGGGTCCTGCAGCCTGTGCTAAGTCCTGGAGCCAGAAGACCAAGATGTTAGTGGCGAAGCTGGTGCCACCAGGTCTCTGCAGTGTGATTAGTATTCTTGTCCCATTATCGACTTCCTGGTTTTGATAAAAATTGTCATGATTATTCCACATGTTAAAATTAGATGCAGCCAGGAAGGGTCTGGACTATATAACTTTATATAAATCTGAAGTTATTTCAAAATAAAAAGTTGTTGTCCTTTTTTTTTTTTTTTATAGAGCTAGCAACAGCAGAGCAGGACTGCTTGACCTTGGGACTGATGGGAGGAGGAGGGACAAAGAGGTGCAGAGCCTATGCCCTGCCTGCCAATACTGCCCCCCTTTCTGCACCCCCTATTCTCTGCCACATGACTGGGCATGTGATGCTTTGAAAACTATTTTGTTCATCATTTCATTACTGTATTTGATTTTTGCAACAGCTGTGGGAAATGGGTTAGTAACCTCATTTTATAGCTGAGAAAACTTCTGAGCAATACTTTGCTTAGGTCACTGGGCTGGAAAGTGAAAGCCCTGCGAGACTTCCAAGCCTGAGTTTGCCCCCAGGCCTTGGGGGAACTCGCCCCTCCTGTGAGCACCATCTCCTTTGGGGAGTATCCGCTGCTTCTGGCTCACGTCCTCAGACAACAGGGCACACCCCTCTTTAGGAGACTGGGTTCATCTCCTGAGCCTCCAAACCCCTTCCCTGATATCTGGGTTCCACGATCCAACAACCAATACTCTGACTGGGTCTTTGCAGCGTTCAGCCTTTTCCAGCCGGAGCGTAGGCTCCCATCAAGAGGGCAGCGGCAATAAAGAAGGTAGAAATCAGAACAAAGTCAAGTCCATGGCAAACCAGCTCCTGGCCAAGTTTGAGGAGAACTCACGGAACCCCTCTCTGCAGAAGCAGGTGAGTCTGTCCTGTGCTCACTGGGTTTGCCTTTGTGGTGCCCAGAATCAGCTGAGAAGTCGGCAGAAAAGTTCAGGCTAGTGATGGATTTGACATGCCAGGCAGGCCTGGCTACCATGAGACTCGAACTCCTTGTGAGGAGTCAAAAGCCATTTCTAAAGGGGACCAGATAACAAGTATTTTAGGCTTTGGGGTTATCTGATCTCTCGTATCCATTTGCCATAGACAACACTTACAGGAGTCAGTAGGTGATAGGGGTCAGTAAACAGACCACAGGTCAGATTTGGCCCCTGGACTGTAGCTTGCTGATGCCTGCTCTCCCAGAGAAGAAGCCTTTCTCTGCTTGGCTTTTGCTTTGCTGCCGTCTTTGAGATGGGAGAGCGTAAGGGAGCGTCCAGTGTGCTGGCTGCCTGGGAGAGCACTGGGTCACTGTGGCATCTGTCCCAGCAGCAGAGACTGGGCCACAGGCACAAAACCAGCTTCCCAGTGTCCTCAGGTAGCCCCTCTTCAGCTCCCTTACATCAAGCAGGCCAGCTAGTATCCGACAGGGTCAGTCTGAGCCTGGAGTAGGGTCCAATGCTGTGCCTCAGGCTGCACACCGAGCTGACTTCGGCCTCTGACTTCAGGGAGTCTGCTGTGTAGTTCAGTTTGTACGTGAAATTCCTTTGGAATGCTGCTGTCACTTTTCCTTTAGAGAATACCTGTCAGAAATAGGCTCCTCTTGCAGCCAGGGGCAGAATCTTGGCTAGCTAGAGGCAAAGACAGTACTTGGTCTTGAGGCACATGCCTCTCCTGGATGATTTTCACCTCTCCAGGTGATTTTATTAGAAGGGGGCCATTTTCCGAAGACTTGTAATTCTCTGAATTTCCCCCCAAAAGGCCCATTCTGGAGGTTTGACCCTTTTCATGTTCACGGGTCAAGGAGGACTCTCTTCTAGGAGGTAGATGCCATATTCCTGTCCCCTAGTGGGCATGCAGTGGCCCATTGCCAGGTCCTCCTCTAGGGCTGGCCACTTGGACCAGCTTGGACGCTGGCAGTGGCCGCCTAAGACCTGGGTCTGAGCCAAAAGCTTGGCCTCGCTGGGAGTCAAATGTTCTCCAAGAGTTGGGGACTCCGGGACTTGCTGTTCACTTGGACAGAGAGCCCGGACTCAAGTTTCCTGGCAGGACCTGGCTTGCAGTAGCTCAGCTCAGTGGTCTCTCTGCACTTGCAAAGTCTGTCTCCCTCCCTCTCTTCTCTCCACCCTCCAAGTGTCTCAGTCTGACTCATCTTTTCCTTCATGTTTCCTGCACTGCTTTCTTGGATTCACCTTTCTCCTCCCAGGAACGTCACGTCTCAGGGATAGGTAAGCCGGTCCTGTGCTCTTCCTCTGACCCTCCTGTTCACTCTCGCTGCCCCAAGCCAGAGGAGCTCACGCCCCAGCCCATCACCTCCTCTGAAAAGGCAGGTAGGGCTCCTTCCAGTGGACGCTGTCTTGGTGAGGCCAGAGGGGACTTGGCCCTGAGGGTGGGGTCAGTGGCTCTCTCCACACCCCGAGTATGGCTGATTATAGCATCTCTGGAAAGGCAGACACAACTTGAGGTCACCACCTTTCTCGGTAAGAATCACCAAGCATACAACACCTTGAAATCCACGCATGGATGCCTCAGCCCATCCAGGGTATTGACTGGCCTGCTACTACCAGGCTCTAGGTGCTTTATTTGCTTGGGGGAAAACTGACTACACCACGTAGGTATTTTGTGGGAGGTCCCTGGGACTTAGCTTTGAGTAGATGGAAAAGTGGCCATGACGGTGGGATGGGCTCAGGAAGGCCACGTGCTCCACGCCTCTGGTGGAAAAAAGCGGGCAAGTGGCAGAGGCCACCCCAGGCCATACAGGGTGGCTGCTGCCTGAAGCCGTGGGTGAGGCTTTTTCTGGCTTGCATCTCCAGGTTTGGTTTTTGAATGGAATCACTGCTAGTGGCATGATACTCAAGGACATGTAATCAGCATTAGGAATTTCACATTGCTTCTGGACTTTGCAGGCCACATGAGATCTGTGCAGACACACTGCAGTGATTTTATGTTTATTCATATAAGAATTGCCTGGAGACATTTTTTAAATACCATTATTTGGTGCCTCCCCCAGTTAAGCCAGAATCCCTAGGAGTTGGGTGCAGGTTAAGCGCCCTAGGTAATTTCTGCGTGCTGCTGGTGTTGAGAACCCCTGGCGTTGTACAAGTTTTGACTGGTGGGTCTAGGCTGAGGCCCAAGGCTGTGGGTGATTCCAGTGCAGATGGTAGGGCCTCACCACAGGAGGTGGCACCCTCTGTGCCCTTTGCTGCTGGTCCTCATGGGATCCCTCAAGGTGGGGGATCTGGGAAAGGGCCACAGTGGGGCAGAAGCCTGATTTTCCTTCTCTCCCAGTTCTCCCCGGTGGTGGTGACCGGGCATGTGCTCCGAGAGTTAAATCAAGTGTCCACTGGTGGCGAGCGCCCAGGCAGGCCCTGGAGAGCCAGAACCAAGTCTGACCTGCAGCTAACAGGGCCAGAACATCCTGCTGGGCTGCCCGCCACCTGCCAGGGAGCGCTGGCCCTCTCTGGGGTGCTGCGACGGCTGCAGCAAGTGGAGGAAAAGATTCTCCAGGTGAAACCCTGTCTCTGTGCCCTGTCTCTCTGCCCATGCCTGGTGTCTTCCTGTCTCCTCCTCCCTCCTCCTGCCCAGGGTGGTTCCTTTCCTTGTTGTTCACTCCCTGTCTCCTGTCCTGTGCTGTCTAATGGTCTCCATCCCCCCCCCGGGTGACCGTCGGCCTCTATCACTGTCTCCTTTCTCTGTTCTCTCTCTTCTTGACTGCAGAAGAAAGCTCAGAATTTGGCCAACAGGGAATTTCACACAAAGAACATTAAGGAGAAGGCAGCTCACCTTGCCTCCATGTTTGGACATGGGGAGTTCCCACAGGTAAACGCAGGGCTTTCAGCAGCCCCACGGGGTCAGGTGTTGGGCATCCAGTGAGTGGCTATGAACCATGCTCCCAAGCTTGACTTCCTCTTGCCTCTTTTGATAGCCCTGGGAGCTGTTCATTTTCCATGTCATGAAAGAATTCAAACTGACATCTAAAAAGGACCCAAGTGGGGACATTTGAAATGAGTAGGTCAGTCATTTAAAAAAAAGGAATGGGAAAATCAAAGGCAGAAAAACAAGCTTGGGTCAAAGGAAAGCATTGCTGAGAGAAATGCCTGCTGGTAGACCTAGACTTTGGAGTAGGTTCTAGGCTGCTTAGGGGCCCAAGCAAAGCCAGGTGCAAGGATCACAGTGCCTTGAAGGTAAACCCAGTGCTTGCTGGGCCATGGAGGGTGACTTGCTGGGCCATGGAGAGGCCTCCCTGCGGCCCTGGTCAGGGACACTGAATGAGGAGGCCAACCCCTGGCCTTAGCCTATGCTCTGCTTTCCCAAAAGGCGCCATTGAGCCAAGAAGAATGGCTTTGTCTTAAATAGGAAATACTGCCTCCTCCACCCAGTGCTGAAAAGAAGAGCATAAGCTCAGAGAACAAGCACAGTTGCTAGTTAGGTGTGAGCACTCCCTTGCCTCAGCGAGCCTCGTCTCTATAGCAGGCCTCCTCTGATACTGTCAGGTGTCCTCGGCTACTTGGTAGAGTCTCAGACATGGGAGGGACACTTGGCTTTCATTTTTAGGATTTCAGGGGCTACCCAGAGGCTGGCTATTGCCAGTGGCTGCAGAGGACCCTGCTGTGTCCATCTGTCCCCTAACGCTCAGGACACTCTTTTCCTAAGCTTGTAGCAGCTACGTCAGCCCAGAGCGTGAGCTGCAGGAGTTGGCACTGGCGTCTGCAGTAGACGTAGGCAGGAACAGGAGTAGCTATTTTGGTATGACAGTGGAGCTGGAAGAACTAGCAGAAAGCAGGATAACCAGGAGGCAGCCAGTCTTTGGACTTCAGTGTAGATGCTGCTATTCTGTCCTGAGACAGCGGCCTGGCTATCTCTTCCCCCCTTGAATGCACACGCATGGGGGCTGCACGGTTGAGGGGTATGCCCCAGTGCCTTGCCCTGCTATAATCATGGTTTCTTCTATTTCTGTTCTGTGCAGAATAAACTTCTCTCTAAAGGCCTGTCTCATCCTCATTCTCCATCTTCTCCTTCCTGCCTTCCATCTCCTGATCCAGCTGCTCCTTCCTCTCCATCGACTGCTGACTCTATTTCTCCTGCCAAAAAGGTAGTTATCCTAAGCCACTAGCTCCCCACACCCCCTGCATGTTCTGAGATGCTCTTGTGTTCTGCTCGACCCACTCAGGTAAACATCTGGAGCCTGGCTTGGCTGTGGTGGAAATATGTAAGATACTGACTATAGTCTTGGGCCTGGTTTTGGTTTTATTTTGGAGCAAGCAACCTAGTGGGACAGGCAGCACATGAAAGCATGTCCAGTGATGCTTGTTCATCCAGCAAGCATGAATTGGGTGCCCACACAGGCTAATTGTGTTAGCTGCTGAGAAACAGAGGGATTCCCTTACTCAGTTTAGAGGGGAAGCTGCACATGGGCGTAGAGATAAGGAACATTTTTGCCATATGAAATCGTCAGTATTTGGCTTGTTTTTACTTACACAGAGAAACAAACACTTCCAGTTGTCAAAGCCACTGAAAGTAGCCATGGCCAAGATGCCCAGTGCCTTGCTTCAGGGCAGCCCGTGGTCAGCTGTTAAACCCGAGGTCTCCTAACCTGTCTGGGCCTCTGTTTTCTCATCGACAAGGGAATGAGCTCCAACTCATGTAATAGTGAAACTTTGGGTAGAAAATGGCGTTTTGTCATCACCAAAACTCCAGGGTAGCCTTTCTGCCCAGTTCAGGATAGACATCTTCCAAGAGCGGGGTGTGGGGGCTTTGCCCTGTGCATAAAGACTTTTGGCTCCCTTGCCAGGCTGATGGGAGGGGCAAGGGCGCCTGGGCTCAGACAGGCTGTGGCAGGGCCCAACTTGCTTCTCCTCTCCCACCTGGGCTGGCTGTCTCCTCAGGATGGAGCTAGGCAAGGTCCAGGTGGGAAGGCTTTGCTTCCGTCCTCAGGGAGGCCTGACTTTCCCTGCCCTCACAGTGGACAGCACAGCTAGGGCCTTCTCACCTCCCAGTAGGTTTGGTTCCTCGATGATGACAAGAGACAGAGGGTCTGGCACAGACCCTCTTGTCAGTGAGCATGTCCCCAGGCACAGCATCAGTGCACCTCAAGAGCTGCTTCTCCACCAGGCTCATCAAGAAGCTAAAGCCAGCATCACTTGCTAAGCAATGGCTGAACATTCATCCATTCAACCAATGAATATTTGACTGTCAGCTCCGTGCCAGACACTTCAGACTCTGGGCACATGCAGAAGTGAATAGCTACATTCCTGCCCTGATGAGCCTCACAAGGGAAAATAAATAGTGAACAATAGGGGAAATAAACAGTCAACAGTGATATTAAGGTGATGATAAGGAAGAAAGACTATACTTCCCGTGGAAAAATTAGAACAGATGGCAGGGTTCTGGCATGCAGTTTAAAATGGGGGTGAGGGTGAGGCTATTCTTCCTGAAAAAGTGCAGACTGAGCAGAAGCAGAGCCACAGAAGAGAAAACAAAGGTAGAGGGAGCCCCAAACAGAGCTCAGTCCCTTGGCTCCTGGCTCTGGCCCAGCATTCCCTCTGCTGCAGAGGCAGC